ATACAAATAACAAAAGTATAAAACAAAGAGGCAAAGTAGGTAATTGTTCTTACACGACTATCATGAACTATTCTGCATCATTGCACGAACCAAATATCCACATGATCACACCACCTTGAAAACAAACAACCAGATTAAACTGCAAATTTTACTGCCTACCAAAACCATAAGAAATAAATCCCTATGATTTAGGAATTTTCATAACTCAAGACCCAATCCATTCAAAATAGCTAATTCTTGTACTCATCAAGTTTAACAATGATACAATAAAAAAGATATTACGAATTAAATAATTCAATACATAAAAAATCAAGAAATTAAGATATTCATCTAAATCAAACATGGCATCAACTTCCCCTCCTCAGTGGGTTCACATAAAATTAAAATAACTCCCACTTGAAGAGCACACATCAAGAAGGAGCAACTGATGCAAACAAATGGATGGGCAGATACTGCCATGCATTGAAACTTTGTATGTGTGTGTGTGTCTGTATGTTGTATGTATGTGTGTGGGTGTGTGTTGTGTATGTGTGTGTGGGTGTGTGTTGTGTATGTGTGTGTGGGTGTGTGTGCATGTGTGTGTGTGGCAATTGTTCTAACATGAAAACCATCGAAGGACATAACAACAAATGCTTAGAAACACAAATAACAAAATCATAAAACAAAGAAGCAAGATAGGTAATTATTCTTACACGACTATCACGAGTCAGTTTGCATCATTGCATAAACCATATCATGTTTAGATGCCTAAAACATCTAAACTTCAATGTCATAACTGAATGACGTAGTTGATCATAGAAAGCATGGTTCCCTAGATTAAGACATGGGATATGGGCTCGCAGTACGAAAGAGGATCTATCTATAGGGGTTCACCCCGATCTGTTTCTTCTAGTGATTAGAAGGCTTAACATCATTTTCTTGGGAGTTGGTTTGGTCTTGAAGATCATCCAATCTCAGAAAAGTGCCCCCACAAATCTCTATGTGATTACGTTTGTTATACACCGGAAATACTATCCGTGGTTTCTATAAATTTTATGTTGTGTTTCTATTAAATTTTACGTTGTGTTTCTGAAATATTATACGTGGTTTCTATAAATTTTATGTTGTGTTTTTTATGATTTTAATACAATAAAAAAGATCATTTGCTTCATCTGTTCATTTCGTGTCTTTTGTTGTGGTTATTTGAGTTGGTTATTACGTCCTGTTTTATTTATTATGCTAATCACAATTTTTTTTGCAGATCATCACTGGTTCTGAGGATGGAACAACATGGATATGGGATGAGCTTATGATGTATGGAGAACATCTTCAGTATGTATTGAGCCCATTCTTCAGATTTCCTATTATTTCTATATTAAGTGGTACAAAACCCTACTTTGGTCCAAGTATATAAATTGAACCTACTTTGTTGTGCATAATTAGTTATTTTGCCATACGAGAAAAATATATGTTGGTGCTTTGCCAACATAAAACATGGGTGATGATCTCAAGAGTTCATTTGCACATGCAGGGTAGAAGATGATTTCATTTCATTGAGGATATTGACCTCTAATCTTTTGAAGACAAAAGTTAAAGCGCTAAAAGTAAAAAAGAAAACAGAAGTATAAAATAAGGAGTTTTATCAACTGCAATCCATTGTCAATTTGCAAAAAATCTTAGAAATTGATAACTTTATGTGGCTTCCAAAAACTTGTCATTTCATGATCTAATTATAGATGGAAATATGAATGCAGCATAACACTTGGATTCCTTTATTTTCAAAACAAGTCCTTTTAGGGTTGTCAGCACTTTCATTGTGAAGCAAACGAGGCTATTTTCCTACCACCCTCCTGAATATGGGAGTGGTAGCATACAAACTTATTGATTGATAAAGGTCCATCCAAAAGAGGCCTCAGCAGACTGAACCTAAACTATTGTAGACTTCTAAAAGCAGCTTCCCAAAAACATTGAACAAGTATTAAATGGTAACATTGCCAAAACTCAAAAAGGCCGTTATAAGCAACAACTTGCTGGAGTCTAGTAAATCAATGATGGACTGTTTATTAGACGACTACCAACAACTGCTAATGTCTAGCCACCCAATAGTCCAATTTGGTAGTACAATTAGGGATTTAAAAAATGATGAGTCGACCCTATATATATATATATATATATATATGTTGTCACTCATGCTTTCTCTTAGAAAAAAAGCAAAAAAGGTGAATACATTGGTGGGATTTGAACCCTCTTCTTCGTTACGGGGAAGAAGCATGTACACTACCCAAGTCACTGATTCAACATATTTCGCAGATTGTCATATAGTTTTTATTATTACTGGTTTCTCCTCATTAAAATTAGCATATTGTTATATAGTTTTTATTATTACTGCTTTTTTTTTTTAAAAAAAAGAAGAAGGCAAATGATAATGGCAGGATTTGAAACTGCACCATAATGGACAACAACCGTACACACTACCCAAGTCGTTGATTAAACTTTTCTCAAGCATGTTATTTTATACAACAATTAAAATTAAATGTACAATGTATTCGGGGCAAACTCACCTAGCCCATAGGTCAAGGCCGAGTTACCGTGGCAGAGTTTTAGAGTGCTTATGCAAAGCATATTATTGGTAAATGGACAACCTAGATTATGCCATAGCTTGCCCCTAGAAGATAGAGAACCATTTTCTAATAAAAATACATGTTTCCGACTGCATTGGGGTTCAAATTCTGAACCTAAGAGATCCCCCTTCTATCCTATGAGCCTTGACCCTCCATCACAGTGAGCTTAGCCCATTGTCCACAGCCCTAAGCCTTGAAACCAGTGAATTCCAAACCATTTGTGTCTCTCTAAAACCCAAATTCAGGCCCTAAGCAAGCCATCATCTCTATACCCCTATCAACTCACAGTTAGGAAACCCTAGAGGGGCAATAACTTTAAAACTCATTCAAGAGATCCCAAAACTTCAAGTTTTAGTAAAAGAACATTCAAGCTTGCTTCAAGTTGGAAAAGTTTGGATCACAAAACTCACCAGTCTGATCTAAGCCCCATTTTGAGTGCTGGGTGGGCCGGCTTAAGCAAGTAAGCTGCAATTTTACCTTTGCTATGCTTCATTTAAAATGCATGCTTTTTTGTTATATTTTCAATTAAAAGAAACTGCTTTCTTTTAATTTTGGTGAGCCTTTAGCCAATGCAGCCTGTCGACCATAGAAAGTAGTCCTTGAGGTCCACTTTTAGGTAATCAATAATTCGATGGAGCGCTTAAACTCTCCTTGTAAATACTCTTTTTGAGTTTTGGTTAAGGGAATGCCCAAGAACCCATATCCTAACCCATTAGGAACCATACTAGCCTAGTGAGTATTAGTGTGCCACAACATGTAGTCATAGTCCATAATCCCTAAAAAATCCTCAGAAGTCCTACAATCATCATATTTATCCTAAGTTATTAAGACCTATCAAAAAATCATTAGGTTTACCCCACAATTATTCCTATCTTCCAAACATATCCCAAAACTACTAAACCTTATCTAAATTTATCTGAATTTGTCTTGTTGTATCTAGAACACCCAAGAAACAATAGGATAAGACTATAAACAGGGAAAATTGTTCATCAAAAGCCCCAAAAAGGTCCAAATTCGATCAAACTATCATCAATGAGGACAATGGGACCTCTGATGCAATCCTATCAAGGTTATGGCTGAAGGACACGAGGCGCACATTGAAGCCATTCACCTCTAGATTTTCTGGAGAACCTAGTCAAATTTTGATATGACTTTTTATTTAAAGATACAACCTTGAGTTCCACTTCTGGGGGACATATTTTCATGAATTTTTGGAGTTCTAGGCGCCATTAAATTCTACATTCTTGGGTCAAAAGTTAAACCTGGAAGTTATAGAGACCAATCATATGATTTCATTCCTAATATATCTAATAGTCAATTGAAGCCTATTTAAATCCCCCTCTAGTGCTTTTTTTTTTTTTTTTTTGAGTAATTTAGTGGGTAAGATAGGTCTTTACCCGTTTTTTCATATAGATTAGGGGCTTGGTTTTTTTGAAAGTGTCAGTAGGTGGTGTCAGTAGGATTGAAAACCACAAGGTGGTAACTAATTATGTGGATGCTACCACCATGACCTAACCCCTTTCCTGCTGGTGCCTTTTAGAGCATAACTTAAAACACTTAGGCCAACGATACCTAAAATCTCTAGAATTCGGTATTCCCTAACCCTTGGTCTTCTAAAAAAACCTTAAATCCTTAAACCTTCAAATGCATGCAGCCATGGCAGCCATGAAATCATAAAACAAGAAAGCCTTAGAAAGAAGATAAGCAGTCAAACCTTAAGAACAATATACCCTAGTTAAAATCACATTTCAAGATTAAGAAAGCTTTCTCAGATTCACGCATACCTTTTTAGGACACATTTGCCGGTAGATATATAGAAAGGGGAAAATATACAAAGAGACTATTTACATTTTGTAAAAAGAGATCATAATTACTCTTGTTTCTTAAATTTTAAAATGGGAGGCTATAAGTGTCATTGAATCGACACAAAGTTCCAAAAAAAAAATCTCAAACTTCGTGATTCACCCAAACCATCCAATTTGACATCAAATGAGTGGGAATAGTTACGATCTCATTGTAAAAGATAAATGATATCTTTATAGACAAGGGAAAATTTTATATAAAGGTGAGGCTCTAAACAATTAAATTAGGCACACAACATAAATTAAGTGGAAAATTCTTCAAATGGATCATCTCGACCTCAAGATTTAAGAACATAAGAAAAATAGATTTCAAGTCTTGTAAATAATGTCTCTATTAATGCATTTTCTAGATGGTCAATTTTCAAGATTATCAAGTGCTATAGATATGCTCGATCTACACTATTTTTAAGCTTAACTTTTATAATTAGAGATAAAAAATATGTTGAGAACATCATAAAAATTTATACTACTCAAATAACATACTCCGACACTATTTCAAAGTGGGGCTTACTTTGATTGTTTAGGGCATCTCCTTGTACAAACCACACCCCTGTAGCCTATCCCTATTTACGAGCGATCAACATTTCAATCCGCGGACTTGGGCGAATAGGGTGCAACCTCCTCCTTCCTCCAACTCCTGTTCATGTCGCCACCACCTTCTCTGCAACTTCATCCATGGCCTCCAAATACCTTCCCCACCACTCTCTCTTCACACTCAAAAACCCTAGAAACCCCCAAAACCCTAACCAGTAGCTTAAAAACAGTCCCACATACCAAATTAACCTTTCCTTTCCCGTTCCTCTCTCTTCCATTGCCTCTCCTCTGGCTTCTCTGTCATCACCTTTGCTGCAAGACTTGGAGATCTGCGGTCCACATAGAAATGGATTTCCTGCCAAAGCAGGTGGTTTCGCAAGTGTGTCGAAGTGATTTCCTGCCGGTATTCTACCACTAAGATTGTTATTGGACAGATCAAGCCACCCCAAATAATCCAATTGAGTTAAACTAGCTGGAATTTCTCCTTCCAAATGGTTGAAGCTGAGGTCCAGTGATTCTAGGCTGATCATGTTTCCTATGCTCTCTGGTATTTGCCCACTTAGCTTGTTCCTAGATAAGTTTAGCATGTATATACCTTGCAACTTCCCTATATCTTCTGGTATTTCTCCTTCTAACTGGTTTTCTGATAAATCCAGTCCAGTGTTGTAGGAGTAGACAGTGGTTAGTTGGAGCTCTAAGCCTTTGCTCACCATTTCCAGTTCAAGGCCGAGATATGTGAGCTCGATCATGTACCCGAGAAGGTAGCCTTTCGTGTGCATCTGAAGAAGAGCTTGGAAGCCACTTAGTTGAATAGGAATGGAACCCACCAACTGGTTTTGTGATAAATCCATGAATTGGAGGTTCTTTAACTGGGTTGTCTTTGTGGGGATGCTTCCATTGAAGGAATTGAAATTGAGCAGGAGAACTCGAAGCTTAGAGAGATCCCCAATGAACCCTGGGATTTCTCCTTCCATTTTGTTGGTACCCAGATTCAAAAACTCTAATCCTTTGAGGTCTTGGATGAAATCAGGAAAGAGACCTTCCAGTTGGTTATCGTTTAGTCGGAGAGACCTCAAATTGGTGGCCTTTCTTAGAGTATCTGGTAAAACACCTGTGAAGTGATTTATTCCAAGGTTTAGAGAGATGAGAGATTTACAGTTGAGTCCAAATTGGGAAGGGATGGTTCCTGAAAGGCTGTTGTTTGACAGGTCCAGGTTCATCAGAGGGCTGTTTTCTTGGCATAGTGATGGTGGAATTGGGCCTGTGAGTTTATTTCCTGAAAGGGAAATGTATTTAGCAATATATAGCCTTTCTCCTATTTGGGTTGGGATTGAGCCATTGAATTGGTTATGGGAAAGGTCTAATACTTCAATGATATCTGGGGGAAGAGGAAGAGGCCCCTGTAAATTGTTATCAGCCAGATTTAAGTGTGTTGCTGTGTAAAATACATTCATTTTCAGAGAGGGTGGTACAGTTCCATGGAGATGGTTGCAAGAGAGGTCCAGGTATGAGAGCTTGGGTAGAGTCCAGAGCCATAGAGGAATGGTTCCCGTCAAGCTGTTATTTCCAAGATCAAGAATTGCTATCTGGGTAAGGTTAGAGATGAAATCTGGGATTTTACCTTTTATATTACAAGCATGTAAGGAGAGAATCTCTGGCTGGAAGTTTGGGGAAAATGTGTTAGAATCCGTTTGAACAGTTAACCCACTTGAGCTTAAATCAATCTGAAAGGGGTCGGCCTTCGGGAACATGGAAACAATAGAAGGAACTGTGTCATCCATGTAATTGTTGTTAACACGGAAGACTTGGATCTGCGAGAGTTGATTAATGCATTTGGGTATCCTCCCTTTGAAATTGTTTCCTGCGAGATTTAAAGTTTCGAGAGCTGACATTTGACATACGGATTCAGGAATCTGTCCATCTAAGTTGTTTTCATATAGGCTGAGAACTTGTAGGTTTCTAAGGTTGGAGAGAGAAGCAGGGATGTTGCCTGTTAGGCTGTTGAAAGAGAGGTCTAATGACTGTAACTCAGAGAGGTTTCCAATTGAATCTGGTACGGTTCCTTGTATAGTACTGCTGGACATCTGAAGCTCCACTAGAGAGGAGACATTTGAGATTGAATTAGGTATCTCCCCATAAGAATTGCAGGAACGGGTAGAAATGGTTTCTAGATGAGGCCATGGGAGCTGAAATAGATAAGAAATATTGATACCAAGGTCGCCATTACCATCCACGATATACTCTTTCAGCTGTGGAAGATACAGGATGGTGCCTCCTAAGAGATTGCTTGTAAGATCCAGGGAGGAGAGAGAACTAAAATTTGTGAGCTGAGGAGGGATATGAGAGAGAAAGGAATTAAACCCAAGTTGCAGGGACGAGAGAGAAGTGAGGTTGAGGAGATAATTTACAGGAATTGTGCCTGAAATCCCACAATCTGAAAGAGAAAGTTGCCTGAGATTGCTCAATAGTGAGATGGCTTCTGCCCAATCACGATTTTTTTCTGAAGCAAAACCGGAGAGGTCAACCCCATCAAGTCTAAGATCCCTGAGATTAATCAGCCCTTCCAACCAGGAGAGGCTGGGACTGTAAATATTGCTGTATGAATAATAAGAAACTACGGAATTCATAGAAGGTCTCCGAGATGACAAGTTGTAAGAAACAGAGGAGAGATCTAAGATGGGAAAAGAACATGAAAGGTCAAGGTATCTCAAATTAGAGAGATTTCTAAACTGGTCCAGAAGTACACCCGAAAACACAGAGTTGGAGAGGTTAAGATAAGTGAGCTTCTTTAGATTTGTGAGCTGGAGTGGTATTCTAGATTGATGGAAGTTGTTCCTGCTGACGTCTAGATACTCGAGGTACAAGAGATTGAAGAGAGAGTTAGAGATGGTGCCATTGAGGGTCTTTGAAGATTTTCGGGTTAGGATTTTGGATTGGAGGCCTCGAACCAGGTGGTCTGGTTGTGGGTTTCGGAGCTTGACTCCTATAACATGTTGTGTGTTTGACGATTTGCGCATTGGATTCCAAACCATTTGCAACAGTCGGTGCCTTTCCATGAGGAAAGACGGTCTGATGGGTCTGAGAGACTGGCCTTGAAGCTTAGGAGAGCAAAGCTTAGGAGAGCAGTTCTTTCTTCAAATGGACAGCTATGAATGTGAGAGAATAAGAAGAATATATGGATATGGTGGTGGAACTTCATTGTTTGGACAAAACCAGGGAAATCTGGCTGTTGGGATTGGTTTAAGAAGGCTTATGGACATAGCGAGGGAATTTGATTGTTGGACGTAGCGAGGGAATTTGAATGTTGGTCTTGTTTGAAGATGGCTTGTAGAACTTGTTTTTATGAAGAAAATGCATATAGTTGGATATTAAATGCAAATGAAGCTGACCAAACCCACCCTAAAGAAAATGAAAAAGAAAAAGAAAACCATATTTCTTAGAACACAAAAACAAGATTCTGGAAGGGGCTCTTAAGCACCCGAGAGAATGTGACTGCTAAGGCACACAAAACCCATATTTCTTAGAAATTTACCCTTGTATCCACTATAAAGATTGTAGTTAAGAAATTACTCTTAATTTTTGTACATTGCATGTATATTCCTTTGTCGATTGGTTTGTTTATTTATTTTATTTTTACTCTGACTTCAGATTTTCAATATCTATAGTTATATTTTTTTTTTTTTGCAAAATCATTTTTAGTAAAAACCAAAAGTCTGAGTTAAGAGTAACTTTGGGTTTTTAATATCTAAAGTTGTATAAAAACAAATATTTCCATACAACTTTGGATAATTCAAAATTTAAAATCAGAAGTAACTTTGGATTTCCGATATCTGACGTGACTTCTAGTTTTCCTAAAAAATGATTTTTTTTAAAAAAAAGACTACCATATATATATATATATATATATTAAAAATTATAAGTCATCACCTGACATGGTGACTTCAAAATCTTCACCTAAATTTGGCTAAACATGGTATCAAATGCACACAAGGTGTTCGCCCAGGTTAAAATTGAAAATTGTCATCATTCCTCCGTTCTCTTTTCCTCTCCTTTATGCAGGGGTGGTAATGGACCAGGACATGACCTGGGACCCGAGGGGTAAACTCGATCAAGGTCCAAGTATGGGTCCAAAAATTGGACTCTATGGTTGGGGCCGGGTCCAAATCTTGAACTCCAACACTATTCGGGCTCGAGTCCCATACTATATTTTCCGGTACAGGCCCAAATTCAGTTAGGCCCGACCTGACATGTTGTCACCCCTATGGCTCCATACAGTCAATACTGTTTTTGGTCTTTTAAGTGCAGTTGAATGGGAGTAATTTAGACATGAGTGCAGTCGGTTTACAGATGCATTTGTAGGTGTAGAGGTAAGGTGCGCCTTCAAATTTTGTCATGGTATATAATTTTGATGTAAAATGTTCTTAGGATTATCTCAAAATCTATTTTTATATCTAATTATAAAATTTTAAATTTCAAAAATGGTTAAAATCAAGTAGATCTATAAACATACGAAAATCTTGAAAATGGAGGATGTAGATAATATGTTGTAAAATGCACTATTTCTGAAACTTAAATTCTTTTTATTTTTCATAATCATACATCTTGATGTCGAGATGATCAATCAAAAGGTTTTTCAACATTAGAACTACCTTTTCCGATAGATTTTTGAGGGGCATCCGTAGTTCTACATTATAAGGTTGCATCCTTATATAAACATTTTCCTTTAAACATTGTCGAAAACAACTAAATTGGATCTCTCCAAAAGACTTGAAAAACTTGAGTCATGTTTAAGCTTTCAAATATTTCGGTTTGGACTTCATCTTTGTGTAATTCTATAATTTAAGTGGTGGCACCTTTGAAAACATAGCAACACTTGTATTAAATAGTGCAATTTTGGGTTGACTTTCCTTCTTTGTTTTGGTAGGATAAGAGACAAGTCAATTTTGTTATCTCGACCTTTTAAGACTTCTACAGGTTGACCTCTTTGGGTGCAATGTTCGCACAACGACCTTTTCGCTTTGAGCTTTTGTTTCATATCCTTTCCATTTTGCTTAGTGTAAGTGCATACATGTATTACACAAGTAAATAACATGTAAATTCAGATATTTGGGCCCAAATAATTGAGATAAGGCTGGGATGACGGTGACGGGCACTAAGTTTTAGCATTTCGTATTCACCCATAAATTATGTCATATATCTTGTTCATTTTTTTTATGTAAATGTGAATTTTTTTTGAAATTGGTTGAATTTGCAGACAAGATCTGAAAATTCAGATTCTAATCTTGGAAATAACTTGAAATTAGAAAATTTGAGAGCATGTCTATTGAACTTCATAAATGTCATGGGCGATGCATTTGATCTTCCATGGTTAACATGTCTTTAGTGGGTATACTTAGCTTTTGGTCAAGCATAATGTATACTGTCTCCCTTGGGTGAAAGATATATCTGGGAAGGTTTACTTCGTTATTAAATTTTGGAATCCAATTAATAATCACTAGATGATTATTAAAAAAAAAAAAGTAAATAAAAAGAAGAGGATTTCGAGTTCTTCAACACTTAGATCTCACCCTTCAAAATTTGGAAGGTCTATATTTTATTTTGGGATGTTGCGCATGCAAAAGGCAATTTGGATTTCTCCTTCTTCATTTTTTTTTACATTAATCAATAGGTTGAAAAAGTTGGATCTCCAAAATATGGGGTCTTAAATTACTCCGGTTTTACTTGAGGGAATAAATGGACAATATGCTCCTTCAAGAGCACAAAATCATTTGGCTTACTTACTATTGGTTGTTCTTATGGTCTACCTTTTTTTGACCTTTCCAGTGTACGTAGGCATTGTTGATTCAACAATGGCTGGGACAATTGCCCTCCTCAAAGAGCATGAGCGGTTTGATACGAGGGAAAATTACAAATAACCTCAAGACTAGATTTTTTATGCAAGTTATTCCAATCTTTTTATTTTTTCCTTTAAAATATACTTTTCTAGCAACTACCCCCAAATAAAAAAGGTACATTTTTTTGACATAAATACCTTTTTTCGTACACAAAAATTAAATTTTGGCCGGACATTCACATAGGCTTACATTGGTTACTGAACCGCTTTTTGACATTGTTGGACCTCATTAAACTAAAAAAGTGCCGGACCGCTATTTGACTTTTCCGGACTGCACTTTGGGCCTGTTGTTGGACTGCATAGGCTTGTTGTTGGATCGCATGGGCCTATTGTCGGACCGCTCTTTGACAGAGTCTGACCGCTCTTTGGTAGTGCCGGATCGCCACTGTTATTTACTGGACCAACATTATACTGAGAGAGACATAGGTAAAAGTAAGGGATGGTAGTTTAGATGCGAACAAAGGTTTGGTTGGGAGTAACTTGCATAAAAGTCTAGCCCTGAGGGTTATTTGTAACTTTGGGATAACACCCTCTATATGGTATGCGGAAGGAGATTCATGTAATCTTTTGGGCTTCTAGGTCCACTAAATCGCCTCACCATCCGCTGCGGGCCTATACAAGTCACCTTAAAGCATATCTAGTAGGTGGCCAGTGTCATCGCGGCAAATTTGTTGGCTAAAGATGAGGATGCAAGCATGAATTTGGAGAATAACTAGTAACTTTTTTGGCACTATCTCACATTGGGTTTGACCGCCCTTATTCTTAGATGCACGTTTTTTGGTTTCTTTTATATATGAGCTCCTGGTATGTGGGAAACCATATCTTGTGTCATCAAATCTTGTCCCAATTATTTGGGATCGGCTATATGAATCTTGTTCAATATATCAAGATTTATGAAATAGATGTGGTTGAAGTTTTGTGCTGGTTGCAAACCTAATACAACCCTCATCCTTTTTTTGAGCATGCCTTGGAACCAACCACTAAGGATTTAGTAGCTAGATTCTGTATCTTTGTACAATGTATCTGCATATATAATTGTTTACAACGCAAAATCTGAGAGATCTTCAAGTGAAGAACCCCAGATTTGCTACTACAAACTTGTTGTCTTAAAATGATAGAGAAGTGAGATTAATCAAATTATGGTTTAGGGATTGATTTATTCAGAAGTGAATAAATCCATCCTTCGATCATCAACATACCAACATTGATCTTTGCACACAATACTTAAAGAAAATACTAGACTAATTTATATTTAATGCAAAGCAATTGAAAGAGATGAAATAGAGCCTTACTTGACTAGGTTAGTTGGCCTGAGACACCTGAAGCTTTAGAGCGTTTCCCGTAGTAGGACTGCGGCTGAGTTTGCGCTGCTCCTCTTCCTTTTCGTTTTCAAAATTGACCAAGACTTGGCTTTGGTTGAAATAGGGTGATGGGTTGCTGACCTAAAGGTTAAACGTTTAGGTTTAGGGTTTCTCCAATGGTTACATAATGGACCTAAAAAGCTAAGGATTTATCTGCACTAGAAGGCTCTAAGAAAGACTTGATTGACCAACCCTAAAGAGGCTGGATTCAGGTCTTTTATAGACCTTTGAGGGGCTGAGAATCCGTTTTTAATACTTATCTAGTCGATTAGGGTTCAAAATTCGAAAAATCTGATGGTCAAAGTTTGGGTGACACAAAATGTGTCTTCAAGGTCAAACATGACCAATCAACACAGAACGTGTCGCATGAGCAAATACTAAACAGATTCAACGATCAGACACAAAATAGCCTGGGCGACACACTTTGTGTTGCACAGGGCAACACATTTTGTGTTGCATTAGCGGCACACTTTGTTTGCATCCGGTGAGCAAAGCTTGTACTATAAATAACTAGCGTCTACTCTTGTAACATAGGACTCAATTAATCATAAAACCACTATAAAGAGAAATACCATAAGAGATTGGCAAACTGCAAGGCCTATTTATGCTAGACTATTGAGAGACAATCTAAGTGGGCAGATACTAGAGAGCAGAACTAGCCCGGAATCACTAAATCAAGGTTTCAACCATTTGAAAGGGTAAGTACCAAATGGTTCCATTGTACTGGACGATTTAGGGTAACTTAATATCTCCTATAACAAAATCTCACTGGTGAAATGTAGACCTCCTACTTTGACTAAGGGAATTCCCAACTGCCTAAACCCGAAAATCTTAGGTCCCAAGCCTCTAGTCACCTACCCGAATCAATCCTAAACCTAAAACTTAGCATTCGACCCACCAAAATAATTCTACCTAGAAAACCACTAGAGACCACTCTAGGCTAAGTGCCCCATAGCCCACCAAAATCCCATAATCCATAGATCAGTTAAACTTCTTAAGCATACCATAGAAGCTCTATCCCTAGTAAAACCCGATTAAGTTATTATTATCAGCTTGCAACTAGAAGCGACTATTACCGAGATCATTAATAGCATATAATCGCCCACCTACCCATAAAAGCGGGTCATAGCGGGCAGCTTTATCCATCAATTTGCTTGCCCACCATTCGATTATTTGTTGGCCATTCATTCTTAGTTGGGGTGAGCATTTACGACAAGCATTCCTTATTCCATCAACTAAGACCCCCTCTCCCT